TATATATATTTTAAAATATTTTCACTTAAATAAAAAATTTTAATTATTATTTATTTAATATATAAAATTATTAAGTTAATTTATATAAAATTTAAAGATTGAGACAATTAAAAAATACCAAACAAATGTGAATTTAGTAAATTAAATAAAATAATATTAATAGAAATATTATGTTATATGTTTTATTTTGAGGTTAGATACTTAAAATGTGAATTTATACAACTAATATTAATTAAAATGATGCTTAGATTGTTTAGAAATTGTGTTGACGAAAATTGTGTCCTAGATTGTTTAGAAATTGAAACTAATTTTACAAATTAGCTGAATTTAGAATTAATTATATTGTGTTTCTCTATCTTATATTTCGAAATTGTTAGATGAAATTACAATTAACATGACTTTCATACTTAGCGAGAGATTTTTTTAATGTTTATGCTCTATGGGATAATTTGGAATACACTAGTATATTACTTATTGTATGATAATATGCATCTACATATTCACAATAATATTGTTAATGTCTTAACTTCTTAAATTAATAAATTAATAGTGCATGTTGCATAATATATATCCTTAGTTAATTAATATCTTATTGCTTGCTTATGTGTTAGTATCTAAACTTGTAATAGATTTTGATTTTCAAATTTTTTTGAAATTTTATTCTCTGTGCTGTAAGAAAAGTAAACTGATCTGGTTATTTATATAATTCATCTTGCGTTGAAATCTATTGCATTTCAGAAAAAAAGAAAAGAAAAGAAAAGAAAGGGAACTCTGAATGTACAAGAAATAGAATTTTGTAAGCCGAAGTTAAATATTTCACTGCTTCTAGTCTTGGTAATGTAAAAAATAAGACATAAATCAACGACAAAAATGAGTGGAATTGTTCCATGTGGAAGAGCCTCTCAAGCTCTACACTTCATATACATGGTTCCTTGTTCATTTTCTTGTAACAAAATGATTGCACTGAATTCGTCCAACTTTTGATGGCTTAGCTACCCCTCTTTGTAAACGTGATTAAAAATAAAGATCTGAATTTTATTTTTAATCTCTACTCTGACAGTTCCCTGGGAATTCTTCCTGTTAAAAAATAAAAATTGATTGCACTGAATTCACTTTGTCTGAACTCTGAAGCATTATCACATGTGCTCTGCACATCGCGTCTTTTCTTTCAAATCGGAATTCAAAAAAGTAATAAAATGATTAAAATTTGTCATCATTATAGCTGCTTTCGGTGGAAAGCATGTGATACATTAATTATTACTCTCCCTCTCTGGACCACTTGCCAGTTGTGGAAGGATTGCGCATTATGCATTCTTCGCTGTATACCACGTGGTAGTAGTACAATTATGGTGCTGAGTTATTGACAGACTACTTTTAAGTCTGATGAGATTTTTTATTATTAGATTTATTTATTTTTAAAATATAAATTAAAATTTATTAATTATAAAATTTATAATTAATTTTATATAAAATT